ACCTAAGTCAAATCAATTTACCAATTTAATCAAAATATTTATATATAATCGAAATAATCGTTTTAATTCATCTAATAATACTTCTCAAAAAAAGCTGAAGTTGATCTTCTGAAATAGAACTTGCTTTATACGATACTTGTTATAAAATGGCATCATATATATCTTGGCATCTTTTATACAAACTAAATGGCATCATAGTTTCTAAGCTTTAAAATTTGCCTCAAGATTGGGTTATCATGACAACGCACATAAATATACAAATTCTTATTAGTTATAAAATATTTAAAAAATAAAACAATGGATTCTACAATTTTATGTCTAAGATTTAATTTTCTTGCACATAAAAATTTTCTCGATGTTGCTAAAATAGCATGTGAGAATGATAATATAATACCATCATATTTTTACAGCAAGGGTAGTTAGTTCCTACCTGACAATATAAACTTTGTTCCTACCGACTTTTATAAACGCTGGGAGAAGAATGGGGCACCATGATGCATTGGGTACAATTAAACATTATAATTGTGGAGGCATCTTAAGAGTTTAAAATGCCTCCACAATTATATACAACCACTTTTATTCGGTGAAACAGTAGCTACTAGAGTTATGTTTTGACAAAATAAAATTATATCTTTTGATTGATATTAGACCTGCAAGGGTTGAACTTTTTATTTTTTAATAAAAAATTTATTAATTTTTAAAGTTGCTTAGTTTTAAGGAATGCTATTCAATGTATCTATCGGTAATTAACATTGTTTTGTAAGCTACAATCCATAGGCTATTTACTTCATTAAACAAAGCTATTGAAAAACAAGTTGGTACTACATGTGTGTATATATATATATATATATATATATATATATATATATATATATATATATATATATATATATATATATATATATATATATATATATATATAATAAGGAGATCTATTTTTGATCTATTATTTATTGACACTTAAGAATGACATTTAAAACAATTCATTATCATAATTTCTGAAATGTAATTTGGACCATTGCACAGTGGGCGGAATTTCAAAAAACCTGGCTAAAAGTCAAAAAATGATTATAATTAATGGAAAATTTCTGTGTAGCATTTTTTTGAATCCCCAACTTTGAATTTTACATAATTGTACCAAAATTCAATAATGGCAGATCCAAAATGGCGGTGTTTTAAAAACATTAATCATTAGAAATGCCTTTGGGCCTTCGTGTTTAACCAATTAGTTCTAATTCGACATTTAAGTTCAATAGACTAATGTATTATTTACATTACATATATAAACATTATATATAATACTGATATATAATGTATTATGACCGTATTATTATGCCGCAATGTTAAGAAAAATAAATTGAAAAATTCATTATTTATTCTACTTATTTATTTGTTCAAGGAAAACAAGAAAAACTTTTATTTGCATCATTTATCATAATTGTTTCATTTATATGACTTAAAAATAAATCACCACTGTCATCTGAATCATTTATTATTGAAATATTGTTGATAAACTCAATCACAGACGAATGAGTTTCAGAGTTTAACTTTTAACCAACCCAGCGGGCACAGACGTGAATCAAACGTCTTACGGACGTCTTAACTAGGTCGCGACGTCTCAGACCAAATTAGGACGTCCTAAAGACGTCTGGTAAAGACGTCTTTGTTAGGACGTCCTTGTGACGTTAATATAATGACGATATCAGGACTTGAATATTTAGTAGTGATGTGCCGGGTACCCGGTTCAGACCCGGGGACCCGGCAATTCGGCTGTTTTACCGGGTACCCGGTATCGGCGATTTTGTTGCAGTACCCGGCACCGGGTATCTTCAAATTGATTTTTCTTTAAATTTAAACTTTAACCATTAAACTTCTTGATATAAATCTAAGAATGTTATGTAGTCGATATCCACAAAGTTCTATTAACTTAAAACAATCTCACTTAAAATAATTTTTAATACATTTTTGCAAAAAAATTTATACGGATACAAAAACTGAAACGCTAAATGAAATAATTCGAGAATACGAATAAAAAAACTGAGAAAAAAAGTTTTAGAATAGCTCCTTTTTATTCTGTTAGAACACAAGATAATTTTTAGCAATTAAGTTTTGAATGAAACGCTTATAATGCTTTCGAACGCTGATACCACTTTTCATTCGTATCAAGCAAAAGTCATAAAAGTAGAGATATTAGGTAAATATTATACACATTTTTCATATTTTAATTTCGATAATAATTATAACAAAATATTATTTAGGCCCGCTCCACCAGGTAAAAAAAATAATTTTAAACTAAATATAGTTATTAAAAAACTGTTGCGCAGCTTTTGAAAAAAGTTAGGCTCTACAACTCAGGCCCCTTACCCTGCATTGCGGGGTTTTGCTAAATGGTACTTCCGCCACATAACTTTTGGTTAGTTAGCGTAAAAAGCGTATTTTGTGTTAATTTTATTCCAACTTTTTAAAAATGGACTCGGTGCCGAGTACTCGGACTTGGACC